AAGTGATGAGGACCCCCAAAAAAGGAGGGCATTAAGGAGAAACCTGACTTGGTCTGTACCCAGGGGTGGAATCCAGCAGGTTCTGACAGGTTCTGGAGAACCGGTAGCGGAAATTTTGAGTAGTTCAGAGAACCAGCAAATAGCATCTCTGGCTGGCCCCTGAGTGGGGTGGGAATGGAGATTTTGCAGTATCCTTCCCCAGGAGTGGGGAAGGAATGGAGATTTTGCAATATCCTTCCCCCAGGAGTGGGGAGGGAATGGAGATTTTGCAGTATCCTTTCCCTGCCAAGCTCACCAAGCCACGCCCACCAAGCCACACCCACAGAACCGGTAGTAAAAAAAAAATTGAATTTCACCACTGTCTGTACCACAAGCAAAGTTAGCTTGATGGGTAATTTCCATGCATTTGAAGGAGACCAGGGAGGGAAGGGACCTCTTCCTTCCAAATTTTTCAACCATATCGGTGGAAACCCAATTTATTATTTATCCACCGACTTACTGATCCCTTCCTTGGAAGAAGTGGACTGAGGCTGGAATCTCAAAGCTTTTGAGAACATGGGAAACCCTTCGTTTTTCATCATTTTATTAAAAAGAAAAAAAGATGGGGAGGGAAGTCTTGGCCACTAATCCTTCTCTAACTTCATAAGGATGCATATTTTTCCTCCTCCCTTCCCCTGCCAGCTGGGCCCAGGCCTGTGAAGGGAAGTCAGAAACATTTTCTTTCTGTAATGGTGTCAATGACCTCTAAGTAACAGTGTCTTTCCGGGAAATCCAGTTTGCTGATTATTTGGAAATATTTTTCCCACCCACAGTTTCTGGAGATCTGCTTGTGCCAGAAAACAGAATGGACTCATGAAAGTTCATATGCATTCATGCATGAATATATTATGTACCAGTGGTAGGTTTCAAAATTTTTTACTACCGGTTCTGTGGGTGTGGCTTGGTGGGCATGGCTTGGTGGGCGTGGCAGGGGAAGGATACTGTAAAATCTCCATTCCCACCCCACTCCAGGGGAAAGATACTGCAAAATCCCCATTCCCTCCCCACTCCAGGGGAAGGATACTTCAAAATCCCCATTTCTTCCCGATCAACTGGGACTTGGGAGGCAGAGAATAGATGGGGGCGGGGCCAGTCAGAATTTTTACTACCGGTTCTCCGAACTACTCAAAATTTCCGCTACCGGTTCTCCAGAACTGGTCAGAACCTCCTGAAACCCACCTCTGATATCTACCTCTGTGTCTCCAAGGGGTCTATTTCTCTTCCGTTAGAAAGCACGTGCTAGCTTTGGCAGACGTTTGCAGCAGCCGAATAGGAACCAGGTCAAAATCCTTATGCGTCCGAGACAATTGGTTATCTTGATTTGCGAGAGCGCTTTGCTTCACATTTAAAGCGACCAAAGCTGGGCTTTGATCCCAAAGAGGCCATGGTGAGATGTTCTGCCCCAGCTTCGGACCCCAAAGAACGCAGCACACACAAACTCTATACAAAGCTTATTTTACTCAAATAACTTAGTCTTTTATCATTCAAAGGCTGTTAATGAACTGTCTTAACAACATACCAGAATTCTAAGATAAAGTAATCATAGTCTTACTAGAGTTGGCAGAAGGCCCAGAAGCAATTTTGCAGACATGAAGGAGAATGAATTAAAGTTGTTCCCTACAAATTGCTTCAGTTGGTGTTCCTTCTTAAATAGGCTAAGGGAGTGGCCAATTAGCCCCAAGCCTTACTCTCGAGGAGACCTCCTCCTGAGGAGCCACTCCTGCCTTTTGGCAACTCTGTGCGCCCATGCATCGAGGCTCCTCCTCTTCATCCTCTTTACTTAAAGGAGCTTCTGGAGGTTCTGAAGGCCCTGGTTGAATCCCCACCTCTGGCACCACATCTTCTCCAGCTTCCTCACTGTCTGACTCGATGCGGCCCTCAATGAAATTGAGTTTGACACCCCGATCTAGATCAGGGGTCTCCAACCTTGACAACTTTAAGACTTGTGGACTTCAACTCCCAGAATTGAAGTCCACAAGTCTTAAAGTTGCCAAGGTTGGAGACCCCTGATCTAGATTCTAGAATAAGGCTCTCCAAAATTTAAGACTTGTGGACTTCTACTCCCGGAATTCCTCAGCCAGCATATTGAGTATGTCTTGGAGTTGAAGTCTATAGGTCTTAAAATTGCCAGGTTTGAAGAGCCCTGATCTAGAAAGAGTGGACCTGCCACTGTAACGTGCTGAAGATGGGCCTGTCTTTGAAGCAGGGTGGATAAAAATCAAAGATTTTTTTTAAAAAAATCAAAAAAATCAGATTTTTTTTATTTAAATCGGATTTTTTTTTATTTTTATCGAATTTATTTTAATAAAAAACTTTTGAGGTAAAAATCTATCATAAGATAGTTTTCTATTTAAGATACATAAATAATTTAGTTTATTCAGCATGAAATGGAGCTTAGTTATGTAGCATGAGGCTGTATATTCTGCAACACTGGGACTATCGGTGAGTCAAAGGAGTAGTAGAGATGACAGTTGCTCTTTAAAAATTATGATTTAAATCGAGTTGATTTAAATCAAGCCTTTTTACTAGTGATTTAAATCATGATTTAAATCAACTCGATTTAAATCAACTCGATTTAAATCAAATCCACCCTGCTTTGAAGCTGACCTTGAAACTTCAGCTGAGGCAGAACTGAGGCACTGTCAATTCATGGAACCAGCTCCTATTACATCACTCATACCTGTTGGAATTGCACAAAAGACCAAGGCTCTAAAAAGGCTTAGAACCAGGAATTTTGAAGAATTGCTTGAAGCCCTATAAGCCAATCTGTGTTTTAATATTGGCTGAAAATTGGGTGGTTGCTTGTTTCCATATTGCCGAATCTGTTGACAGTGGGAAGGAAAGCTCCTTCAGCAGCTGTTCTTATTTTGTGCTTTCCCTTCTCAATGAGAGTTGATCCAGTCTGCGTAGCTGTTTTCAGCTGAGCATGGAGCATATTAAAATATTGTTGGAATCTTGATTGATTTGCAGCTCTTTTATGATTGAGATGGTTTTATTCTCCTCTTGGGTGATTCGTATTCTGTAACCCATCTTGAAAGACTTGAGTTCTAGAAATATAGTTAAGAAATGGATTAACTAAAAGCATTCTTACTGAAAGAGAATGAGAGGAATCTAAACTTCAGGGCTTAGTTTAAATTTTATTCTTTCACCATGGAGCAGAAAAGGACTATATATATCTATGGTTCTCATCCAAGAGATCTATTGATCTTTATTAGATAGATAGATAATAGAATTCTTTATTGTCCAAGTGTGATTGGACACACAAGGAATTTTTCTTGGTGCATATGCTCTCAGTGTACATAAAAGAAAAGATACATTTGTCAAGAATCATAAGGTACAACACTTAATTATAGTCATAGGGTACAAATAAGCAATTGAATCATACAAGGAAACAAGCAATATAAACAGTAAGGATACAGCAACAAGTTACAGTCATACAGTCATAAGTGGGAGGAGATGGGTGATGGGAACAATGAGAAGATTAATAGTAATAGTAATGCAGACTTAGTGAATAGTTTGACAGTGTTGAGGGAATTATTTGTTTAGCAGAGTAATGGCGTTCAGGAAAAAACTGTCCTTGCGTCTAGTTGTTCTGGTGTGCAGTGCTCTATAGCATCGTTTTGAGGGTAGGAGTTGAAACAATTTATGTCCAGGATGCGAGGGGTGTGTAAATATTTTCACAGCCCTCTTTTTGAGTCCTGCAGTATACAGGTCCTCAGTGGAAGGCAGGTTGGTAGCCATGGTTTTTTCTGCAGCTCTAATTATCCTCTGAAGTCTGTGTCTGTCTTGTTGGGTTGCAGAACCAAACCATTAATTAATCTTTATTAGTTGTTAGGACAACCTGAAACCACTAGATCCAGAGGTCTAATTTTGAAGAACTGTTGCAAAAAGGGAGAAATGGATGTAGACGGATGTGTATGAGTTTCTAAGGAGCATATGATTAGCTGTTAGATAAGTACGTTGCTCTGATTATAGGATGATTTGGTGCAAATCATGAGGTTTTCTTTAGGTATTATCTCAGTATCATACCTGGTGACCTTAGTTATTCTGTCTTGAATAATTGTTTTGAAATAGAGGCAGTCTTCAACTTATGACCACAATTGGGACCCAATTTTTTACAGCTAAGTAAGGCAGTTATTAAGTGAGTCAGGTCTGATTTTATCTTTTTTTGCTACAGTGATTAATGTCATGCAGTCATTAAGCAAATCCATCTTCTCCCATTGACTTTGCTTGCTGGAAGCCATTTGTGAAGGTTGCAAATGGTGATTACATAACCCAGGAATGTTGCAGTTATTATATATATACATATCAGTTGTCAAGTGTCCAAATTTTAATCATGTGACTTTGGGGAGGATCAGTTGTAAGTCACTTTTTTCACTGCCGTTATAACTTTGAACGTTTACTAAGGGACGGGCTGTGAGAACTTCTCCTATTCTGAGTTTTGTTTTTAGTTCATACCAACATACTTAGCAGAGTAACAATAACAATAAATAGTCAAGGCAGTAGGAAGCGAATTGCTGTGTTCGCCTTATATATTCTTAATTTTATTTTGACGAATGTTTTCAATCTAAAGAGAAGTCCTAAACCAAGTGCAGACATGGTAGGAAATTAGTTAGTAGGAAAACAGTCTGAATAGACAGGCTTACAATTTAAGGAAGCATTTTATTTTTGTAGCCTACAATATACAGCTAGCTACTTAATGTACGGAGAGCAAAAGAGATTTCTTACGCCCACTTGTTAAATGCTAATTTGTGAATTTAAATTCACTGCTAGACAAACCTCATCCAGAATTCAACAGCAAGACAGAATCATTGTTTCTCTGGGTTTGTGTGTGCCTATTTGGATTCCTTCGGTCTCTTGGCACGTCAATTAACTCTATCCTTGGACACAGCGATGCCCAGATGCTGTCTGAAAAAAAACCAGCTACCCAGCTAAATGCCAGTTACCTCTTTCTTTTGCAGATGATGAAGTTTGCTTGGGATAACTACAAGCAGTTCGCTCTGGGGAAAAATGAACTGAGACCTCTCACGAGAAACGGACATATCGGGAACATGTTTGGTGAGTTGAACTTTAATGTTGCTGAAATGAGCCCAGTGGCTTTCCTAAATGCTTAGCAACAGGCAGTCAGGCTAGAATGCATATTTTGAAGAGTGACTAAGTACATGGTGGATTCATACTTCCCTCCTTCAGAACAGAGATATAAATATAAGACAACAGCCAGAGCAGCTAGTTCTACCAAGTCACAACACAGCTTGATTCTACAGACTCTTGATTGGCTGGTCCTTCGAATAGTTTTGAAACTGCCACCCTCAACCCAATGTATTTCAGCTGAATCAGTGGTGAAATTCAGCCGGTTCTATCAGGCTCAGGCGAACCGGTAGTGCTGGTGGTGGGAGGCTCCGCCCACCCGTCCGGACATCAGCACATCCTGTTTTTGACCCTCTGCGCATGCTCAGAAGGCTCTGGGCATCCGTGGAGGAGGCGCACGCGCTCATATTTGCGAGCCGGTAGCGAAGGTAAGTGAATTTCACCCCTGAGCTGAATGGTACCATCACAATCTCTGTCCTCAAGGCTTCTGGGGTGGCAGAAGGAAACATAGGTTCTCAAAAACAACCTAAGTCCGTTATGGCGAACCTATGGCACGCATGCTGGAAGTGGCCCGCAGAGCTATCTCTCTGCGCACACGGAGCCATTGCCCATTGCTCTTCCGGGTTCCGGCACATGCGTGTGCCAGGAAACCTGGTCTTCTGGTTTCTGGTGCACATGCACATGTAAAGACCAGCTGGCCAGTGCGCATGGACGACCAGGAACCAACAAGGGGAGCAAGAGCAAGGGGAGCAGAGCTGCCAGCCAGGACAGGCAGGCTGGGACTTCCCTCCTTCCCCACCTGAGCGGGTTTCTTGCGCCGCCCCAGCCCTCCAGCCCATGGCACTGCTGCACGTCCACAGTCCGGAGCACCTGGCCAGCTCAGGCGCACGGGGAAGGGTTTGCTGGCTGGGTGGCCAGCCACCCTGCCCGCTGATCCTGCTGCTGCGATGTGGCGGAGGCGGTTCTTGCCCTGCCACTCCCAGCCAGGATGCTGAAGCAGGAAAAGCTATCAGGGAGAGAAGCTGCCCCAGGAGGGCTGGAGGAGAGCGCAGCATTGAGATGCTGCCGAGGGGTAAGAGGTGTGCCAGTTAGGAAGTGATTGGGAAGGGGAGGGGCTGTGCTGGCTTCTTCTCGGTGACAGGCTTGGGGGGTGCTTCATCCCAGCCAGAGTTGGGACAAAGCTCTCCCACCTGCTGGCCCCACAACCCGAGCCCCGGGAACGCTGACGCCCCTTACCTCTGAGGCCGGGAAGGAGCTCTGGCTTTCCAGCGGAGGGAGGCAGCCCAACTTTCTCTCCCTGTCCAGGGCTGTGGAACTGGGTCGTTGGTGTGGATGTCCCACCACCCCAACGGGGGACAGGCAGGGAGGTGTGAGGATCCTCAAAAGGCCAGGCGGAGCCGGCGCAAGTGCACCAGAGAGCGGATGGCCAGCACGCACATGCGTGCCAGAAATCAGAAGATCATTTGCTTTTCTGGTTTCTGGCGCACATGTGCACTTCGGCACTTGATGCCAAAAAGGATCATGTGCGCTCCCATTTCAGCACTCGGCCCGAAAAGGTTAGCCATCACAGACCTAGGTCATTGGAAGGGACATAAACTATATATGACAGGAGGAGAATAAGAATACAGTGGTACCCTCAACTGCTTTGAAACTCATCGAATTTGATACGCAACGCTTTATGATGAGAAAATTTTGTCCCGGTACTCATTGTTTGTTTAGTATTCAATGCACAAGCTAGAACTTCTCAAGTGTCGGCTGCCTTGTGACTCACTACATTATTCCTTATGGGAAAAAAATTGTTTGGTACTCATCACGCCTCCCGGAACCAATTACGATGAGTATCGAGGTACCACTGTAGAGGAAAACTATAGCAGAAAGATGGGAGTTGTGTCAATGAAGATTCACAGTCATCATTGTCTGGAAATTGAATCAAGGCAACTGAACTTCTTTTCTTCTTGGTTTGAAACATTTTGCTGCTTAGCCAAGTAACTGCTTCGCTGTGAGCAAGTTGGTTAGGGGACCCCATATAGGTCGCCCAGGGAGATTAGATGAGAAATGAAACCTCCCTGGAGGACATATATAGAATCCCCCTAACCAACATGCTTAGACTGAAGAAGCTACCAGAATAAGCAGAAAAATGCTTCAACTCAACAAGAGTTGAGTTGCCATGACTCAAATACAAGACAAAGAAGGGGAACCTTCCTTACTAAGCTTTTGTATAGTTGCAAAGAGTTTGCCACTGAAATTAGTGATAAAGATGGCCATAAAAGTAACCCTCATTTGAAATCTAATATTAACCGATTGTTCTACTTTTCATTGACACTCCGAATCTGGAAGACACATGCACACACATACATAAATACACAGCAAATGTTTTTCAAGCTTGACAACGTTAGGCTGTGCAGACTTCAACTCCCAGAACCAAAGTCTATCTTAAAGTTGCCTAGTTTGAAAAACACTAGTCCAACCTGTGGATGGAGAAACGGGGACCAGGGCTCCCGTTTTCTATAATGGCAGGTGAGCTGTATAACATGGATGCCTGTGCTATGCCATGCTGAGAAATGCCTACTGGAATCCTTACTTCCTCTTCTGCCATTTCAATAGTTTAAAGCAGGGGTCTCCAATCTTGGCAACTTTAAGCCTGGAGGACTTCAACTCCCAGAATTCCCCAGCCAGCTTTGCTGTCCGCCAGGCCTAAAGCTGCCAAGCTTAAAGTCCGCCAGGCTTAAAGTTGCCAAGGTTGGAGATCCCTGCTTTAAAGGACTGAGAATCTCAGGGAGCTGAAGGCTAGTTTGGGCACTTGAGAGTAGGTACCTTGTTTCTCCCCCCCAAAATAAGACATCCCCTGATAATAAGCCCAAACGGGCTTTTAAGCGCATGGCAAGAAGGCCAAGCACTTATTTCAGGGTTCAAAAAAATGTAAGACAGGGTCTTATTTTCAGGGAAACACAGTAGCAAAAAGATCACATCTCAGCCGTTTCATTTATACCTTGATAGGCTGCTGCTCATTCCACCTCTACAATTTCAAAACAACAGGTAATAAAAAACCCCACATCAAACTGAGAGGCCACAAATTCATAAAAAAAATCAAATGGCACTGCCGTGCTCGACTCTAAACAGCTTTGAATGAAACTGATTTAAGTGCCGCTCTTACAGTCAGGTTTCTAACCAGTCTGCAACAGGAGAAAAGCTAGAATAGATGAGTTTCAGAGATTGGAGTCAGTGGGTGGTTTTACTCCCCACTCCCACCCGCCCAACTACTAAGCCCCCAGCCACATTACATAAAGCTTTTAAAGGCCCTCTCAGTTCAGATGCAATTTGCCAGATTTAAAAGAGGCTACTGATGGGAAAAACTTAAGCTCAAAAGTGTTATTTCTCCAGAACAAAGCTGCTGGTTACGGAAGGTGGGAGGTGACTTTTGCGAAATACTGACGACATGGCTCAACATTCAAGGCTTTTGCTCTCGGTGCCAGCTGGTTTGCGTAATTTCCCCTTAGCAGGCTGCCGTGTTTTGGGTAGCTCAAATTCTTAACCCTGCTTAGAGCTAGCAAGCTTCCTCCCTCAATAATACCTCGCTTCTGTTCCTTTGTCAGCGTAGCGCCTACCTTGCCAGTTTTTAATTTAAACATTCAGTATTATGCCTGATCTAAACAGGCAAGACTGAAAACATCACAGTTGTGCCAATCTGGACACAGTTATTTAAGCAGGGTTTTGGACCGTTTCCGTATGGCAAACCCGATGATTGCTAACAGCGTTGCTGGGCCACCATATGTAGCTGGATGCCTGCCTGTTACGTCTAATTAAAGCTGGATAGACAGTCTTGTAAGTTTATCAGCTGATATGACAATTAGTTGCCTCGAAGCTTAGTTGTTCTAATTCAACCTGTAGCATCCTTTCTGAATTAACCCATCAGAAAATGATTGGGCCAGCATCAGACCTGTGGTGGCTCTTTTGTGACAGGTAGGGGACAACAAAGCAACTTGTATTTGTGTGTGTGATGATGGCAATGCATCTTGTGTTGCCTGAATTGTCATGATGGATAATCCGGTGTCTGGGGATAGCATTGTCTGCAGCTCATTTTGTGAGAGCTTTTGAGCAGCATTTGAAATTGCTGCAGGGGTGAAATCCAGCAGGTTCTGGAGAACCGGTAGCAGAAATTTTGAGCAGTTTGGAGAACCGGCAAATACCACCTCTGACTAGCCTCAGAGTGGGGTGGGAATGGAGATTTTGCAATATGCTTCCCCCTGGAGTGGGGAGGGAATGGGGATTTTTCAATATCCTTCCCCCTGGAGTGGGGAGGGAATGGAGATTTTGCAGTATCCTTCCCCCTGGAGTGGGGAGGGAATGGGGATTTTGCAGCATCCTTTCCCTGCCACACCCACCAAGCCACACCACATCCACCAAGCCACGCCCACAGAACCGTAGTTAAAAAAAAATTGATTTCACCACTGAATTGCTGCCTATATGATCTTAATGGGTTCTTTGGAAGACTTGGCTGGTCGTCTTCTTTTTTCTTTTCTTTTCTTGTTTTATTAAGATGATCCTGGAGTTTGTTACCAGGAAAGTCTCTTTTGACCTCTAGGATATGCAGTGTGACGGGGTCTTTTTTTTTTTTTTTTAAATACAAAACCCATTGGAAAAAACAATGCAGATAATTGTGGATAGCTCTCCGTTTGTATGCAGAAGACATTCATTTCTGCATGGCTTAGTAAATAGAGCCAGGAGCGTTGCAATCCCTTTGCAAACATCAGTTAGATGAGATGGTTCAGAAGTCAGTTGGGGGTTTGGGGTTTTTTTTTTGGAACCAATCCTATGCAAATATATTGTAAGACGTGTTTCAGAATGCCATTTTTAATCCTGAAATCTCTTGAGAGCTGCATCATTCTGATACTAACACTTTTTTGAGCTCCTACATTTCCTGGCATGAGTCCATCGTACCTGCTGAACTGATAGTTTAAATCAGAGGTCTT